AGACGTGTGCTCTTCCGATCTCTCTTAAGTTCTGGCAAAGATTTGTTTTACCCAACCAAAAAACTGTTTCAAAACATGTAACTGGGAATCATGAATATTCAATATATACTATATACATGTATTTATATCTATATACTCGTATTTAAAAGGGCCATCTAGATAGTCGTATACGAATCTTAGCTGGCGTATGTACCCAAATAAAATCATCTAAGGATGTCACTTTTTAAATTTGGCCGTCAAATGATGAACAAGAATAGTGCATTAGTGGCGTCAGCAGTTGTTTTCATACGTCAGAAATCGTATACAACTTGTTGCATGGTGTAAATGTACTCACCAAGTCCGGTCTGGGGGGACCAATGATACCGTCAAGCTTCTTGCAGTGATACTTATACTGAGAATTCGCAGTAGCGCGGTCTACCCACTGATCTTTGGATCCCTCTGGAGTATAGAAGCCACAATCCTTAATGCTCGTCTTTTTCTCGAAGTCTTCACAGATCCCGTCTCCGTCGTGTCGGTAGCAGAGACTGGGGCGACCAGCACACTGGAACACATCCTCCATCTGACATTGGATATTGCAGCCATCACCATCGCGAACATTACCATCATCGCACTTCTCTCCTGGGGGAAAAAGTTGGGTTAGAATTGGATAGCCTGTTACTATGGGTCAAGAGGTGCAACTCTGTGTTAGTAGAATTAATATTGGTTCTTTCCTTTGCTTTGAAAGTTTTTCTCTGGGTTTTTCCTGACAAGTTTTCCTTCACAAGTTCCCTTGAATCATGAACCCTGGTAAATTAGCCAGGACAATGAAACCATCAAAACAAAATTAAATGTTTCTGAATTTGTAAGCAAGTATATTCGCCTCACAGAAAGGAACAATTTTTGGGAATATTTGAATGAGGAAACATTAACGTCTGTATTCTAAAAGCTCACACACAAAGAGTGGAGGTTCAATCTGAGCTTCCCCTGAGTGTCAGTGCTGCTTTTGAATAGCTGAAGGGTTAGTGTCGCACCTTACTATGTGACTACTCACCCTCCATCTATTCAAAAACAGCATTGACACTCAAGGGAAGCTCAGATTGAACCTCCACTCTTTGAGTGTGAATGAGCTTTTAGAATGACTTTCTGATGTTCCCGTCGCATCTTTAATTAAGTCGTTTATTGACAATAACACTTTAATTTACCTTCGTCGATTTTTCCGTCCCCACAAAAACCTCGCTTTGCTTCATAAATTAATTGCGGTGAGAATGGACCAGCTACGTCGTGTGTCACTGCTCTCACTCTGTACTCATAGCGGCCTTTCACATCTATATTTCTAGAAAAGAAAGTTTGGCAAGCTGAAAACTTCGATTCCCACCGTGGTCAGGTAAACTTTTCAGCCTGCCCGGTGTGTATACACACTCAAAGTAACATCACAAACAACAATCATATTCACCTTAGACTCTGAGTACATAACACCTGAGTTTACGTTTTACAGTCTATTTCAGTGTCTTTAACTTAAATAAATGAATCCAAAAGATGAAACCAAAAAGTATGAACTAATTTTTCGCTTTACTTTTTGGTCAATTTTTAGCACGTATTCACTATTCAGTGTAGGCAAGGCATAAGTATGATACAGTAAAACCCCATATATAAGAACCAAGAATTTAAGAACCTGTTAGGCTAAAAAATTTGTTGTTTTTCACTGAATTTTGTTTATATAATAATATAATCATGTTCAACACTCGAAATAAATCTGGCATTTCCGCGCACCCATGTATTATTCTCTATTTCTTCAGTGAAAATATTACATGGCAATCTCAACTACTAGTGTCAGCGTCTGTCCTCTGTAGTGACTGTAAGTAATGTTGCATAATTTATATAAATTATATGCCACATGCACGTGCCAAATATGAGGGGAACATAGCCCCCTCCCCCTCCCCCCATGGTAGACCCTTAACACTGAAATATTTTTCATTTTTCCTGCGTACTGTTTGGCTTTTTTGACCTTTTCAAAAACCGGCGTTTGGCTTTCAGAATGCGCAAAGTATTGCGCAGGTGTTAAAACCGCTCAGCCAATCACAGACCTAGAAATGTCAGCGCAAAATTAGAAAATCGAATCGAAAGCGACAAGATGGCCGATTTGTAATTACATGTAAGACAGGTTTTTTACCATAGATATAGGAGACCTAGATTGCTGACTCTAATGTTTTCTATAATGCACGCGCGTGACACTCATGAGCATTCAAAATGGCGGCTCAACCGGGCAAAAATCATAGAGCGAGATAGGGAAAAAACATGTTTTTCGCATTTTGCGTCGTCCTACAGCTTCCGATCCCGTTCTATCACTTTATTTTGGCAAGAACTAACTGGTGTGAAGGTTTTGGATGAATATTTGTGCAATTTAAGTTTAATAAAGACGAAATAATCGATCGCTAAATGTTTTCTGAAATCGTCACAATGGTCGGTTGAGCAGTTCGAGACATTTTGTTGCAGAAAATAAAGGTTTTGGTTCTTTGGGTGCTTTTTTTCTCGAGGATCTCGGTTGGGATATTTAACAAGGAATAATTCTGTGAAGTATTTTGAAGTTAAAGCCTATTTTACTTGATTTATTTGGTCTGCTGGTGCGAAAATTCTGATGCTCTGTTTAGTGTGACTTTGACAACCTCCTTGCTGCTGCAGATGTCAAGGGATCTCAAGTCTATAGGGCCTGGACAGTGAAAAGTGATGAATCAATCAGGTTTGTAGAGAGAACTAGTGACAACGAAAGTTTTCAATGGAAACTAGTTTGAAGAAACTGCCTAATGTGTCTGGTATGCATCAAAAACCTTCACAGTTAGTATCTAGTTCTCTCCAAGAAACCTGATTGATTCATCATTGATAATCAAAAATAGATGGGATGGCATCTTTGTTTAGATATTTCTTGGATTGGCATTTTATTGATTGCTCTCTGCAGTTGGCATTCTTCCCTTCGGACACTCTCCCCTTGAGACAGCTGACCCAAGCATCAGCACTCTCCCCTTACAAGTAGAATTGTCTGGCATAGCCAGAGTAAAATAATTAAGTAGGGCACAAAACGACTCAATGGGTTAACTATAAGTGCCACTGCTCTCCTCTTGATGAGTAAAATTGTCTGGCGTTAGACAGAGTAAAATAATAAAGTAGGGCACCTTGCAACACCATGGATTAATATAATCATCGGGTGTGAAGTATAATTATCCGGTGTGAAGTGTTTCTCACACAAGAATGAATATTTGATTGGCATTGAGTTTGCCCATTTCATTTTTTAGCAGGCTGGGATTGGTTATAGGAAATCCAATAGTGCAAAGGGAAAGATGTATTTTTGGTTCACTGATGTGAACAAAACTAAAACATTTTTGACTTTGAACAGGACAAGGAAAGTTGTTGTCAACATGCATATATAGAGAGAGAGACTCTCCTAACACAGACATCAAAACAAGAAGTTCTTTTTTGGTCTAATATTCTTTTATTAAAACTGTAAATAGTTTTATATTGTAGCTGCCAAACTCAAAACTACATTTGTTGTGACGTTGTCATTACAGTATTTACAAAACAAATTCTTTTTATTCTATTATTATTCTGTTTATATGATGTAAGTTATAGACTTATAGTGTACAAATATGTGATGTGTGTGTGTTTCATAGACTTACTTATGGAAGGAAAATCGAATAACATCCCACGTCTGTCTTGTAGTAATACACTGAACACGATTCTGGCCGACTTTCAAGCATTCTTTTCGATAAAAAAAAACCCAGATGGAATAGAAGCCCTAGAATTTTCAGATGAAAATACTGTATTTTGGTCGAAATAACAATGAAAGAACAAAATAAACAGTAATAGCTTTTGGAATAGTTAGAAATATATAATATTACTTGAGAAAAACTCGTAAAAGACTGAAGGAATACACAGGAAGAAACTAAAGACGAAAACCGCGCGAAACTGCAGGCCTGCCCAATCTTGCCCGGTTGAATCGTAATTTGTATTAACCATGGTATAAAATTGTACTGATTGTACAAATTTTCATCCAAAACCTTCACACTAGTTAGTTCTTTCCAAAATAAAGTGATAGAACGCGATCGGAAGCTGTAGGACGACGCAAAATGCAAAAAACATGGTTTTTCCCTATCTCGCTCTGTGATTTTTGCCCTGTTGAGCCGCCATCTTGGATTTTCAAAATATGTCACGCCGGTTGAGCCGAGTCAGCAATCTAGGTCTCCTATATCTATGTTTTTTACCAATCGTTTATATTCTGGACGCTTTTGTTTGAAAATTATTAAGAAAACTCGACCTTTAACCAAAGAATGAAAGAATATACACGGTAAGGAAGTTTACGAATCAATAGCTAGTTTAGGGTCGTATATTAAAAATAGCTTTCAAAAATATTTGCATCGGTTGAATAATTTAATATATGTACAGTACAAAAATATAGATCAAAAATTCTTAAATTCTGCTGCCATTTTATAACAAGAACTGTTTAGTTTGAACAAACAAAACAAACAAATTATCAAGCTATAACTTTTTTCGCAGTGAAATAAAGTTTATTTCATGAACAAAGCTTTTTACCCAGTATGGAATGTAACATTTCTGTGCACCGCACAATTTAAACACAACTTTGGTTGTGCACCACCTGTTGTGCACATAGCCAGCGGGCTCATGACCTGTGCACGTTCAAAATTAAGAATGTGGGGGGGAGGGGTAGCAAGTGTGTAGCAGCGAAGGTCAGAATTTCTGAATTCACCAATTATTTAGTTGTTACACACCATAGTTCCAGTAGTTTTTAAAAATATATATAGATAACGTACGGTGTGAAAATCCAAATTTTTTGTGCACCAATAACAGAAGGAAATTGTGTGCACCAATGTGCACCAAAGAGGGATTATTGGGGAAGTTGTGCACCAATTTGTGCACCGATTGAAGCCTTTGTGCACGGCACATGTGCCGTGCACATCGCCTTCATTCCATACTGGCTTTTTACTTACTTATCTTCAAAGTGGGCAGTTGGTACATTTTTTTCATGACCAGTATCAAATGGCGGCACTCTTCTTATCACATAATGCAGAGGACTGCATTTCGAACAGTTAGGATGTCCGATTCCAGATGTCAATTTCACAGCGTCAATGCAAACTGCAAAGCTTGGCACAAATATGCGGACACGAACAACTTTCTTTTTGACATACACTGGTTTCGTGAACGGAGAATCGCACTGTGCAGTACCGTTGCCAATAGATTCTACTGAACCGTCTACATAAACCAACACAATGTCCGAAAATGTGTGCGATTTCACATCCGAATATGGCATCCATATTGTAATTTCTGTTGGCACAACCGCCTGTTTAAAGCCGACCTCTAAGTATATTAATGGGCATTCTGGACAATATTGCGGTTGCCATGAAAGTGGTGATGGGTGGCAGTGGTCTGCATCGGGCGGCCCAATTGCTTGATCTGGTGCCTGGGCACTGTCGATCGACGAGGAAGCAGTTGTCGCGTATTGTTCTAATATGTGCTCATCGTCACACTCGTTACATAAGTTGATTGCATTGTTTCCTGGTTTAAAAACAAAAATGACTAATGATTAGTAAGTGCGGAATGATGGGACAGTTGCCCCTGCTACCATTACTTGTAAAGGCTTTATGTTACCTCCTGTGGTAAAATTAGACCAATATGTGATTACCCTTACTGGACCTTGGAAAAGTCCAGGACTTATGGATGAGTCCAGCAGAAATAAATTTAGTTTGGTTTAGTTTGGGTTTCCTCCTGTAGCAGTTTTGGACTCATCAGAAATGTCCGATGCTGATTATTGCTAAACCACTAGGAATGTTAGATATGTAGTCAAATAGGCACAATGCAACATAATGGGTTAAGCCTTAAGGTGTATGCACTAAATTAATCGGTAATTGTTCTGGAAATTCTGATATATGCTCATAGTAAAAGAAAGTTGAGGTCACCAAACTCGTTACAGGAACAATCCCAATTGCTCAACAGTTATTGAATTTTTTTTAACAAGGATGGAACAATCCCAATTTTTCAACCATTGAAACACGCCCATAATCAATGCAGAGTGTTTTGTTTTTCTCTTTGCCATTATTCTTTCTTTATCACTAATTACATTTGACTGCAGTTCGACTACATATACCGTAAACCTCCGACTATAAGCCCTGGGCTTATATACTTTCGTAAGCGATTTTTGATGGACTTACAAGGGTGGGCTTATATACGGGGGGCTTATACAGTACATGGACGATCTTTTGTGTTAGTAATAAACAAGTCAGACATAAACAAGTCAGTCATAAACAGGAAAGTAAACATGTATTAAGCAGCGATTACTGGGCTTATATTAATTCGGGGGACTTATATTTGGGGGAGGGGCTTATATTCAGGGGGGGTTATATTTGGAATGAGGTGAGCATTAGTACATGTGGAGCTTATACACGGGGCTTATATTCGGGGGGGGGCTTATAGTCGGAGGTTTACGGTACCGTATTCTAAAGTTAGAATTTCTTATTAGATGTATGCGCAGTAAAAGTGCACAATGCAAACCTGATGAATCACAGGCGGCCCAATCTCAGAATGAATGATCAGGTGTTGCAGGTTTTTAACAGTTTTTATAAACAAATTTTAGTCAACCAAAACTATTCTAAAAACATTCTCAAATTAGTCAAATAAATACATTTTAACAACAAAATATAGTTGACATGATAGTATAATACCTTTGCATTCTTTTAATTACTCCATGAGCTCGTTTAGAGCGGTTGATGTAACATTTTCTTATTATATATAAAGAGCACACACAACGTAGGCCACAGAAAATGTTACATCAACCACTCTAAATGAGCTCATGGAGTAATTAAAAGAATGCAAAAGTATTATACTATCATGTCAACTATATTTTGTTGTTAAAATGTATTTATTTGACTAATTTGAGAATGTTTTTAGAATAGTTTTGGTTGACTATAAATTTGTTTATAAAAACTGTTAAAAACCCGCAACACCTGATCATTCATTCTGAGATTGGGCCGACTGTGGATGAATCACCTTAAGTTAGTCTAAATTACAGTGAATGTTATTTGAATGGACAAAAATGATAAATGATAAAAAAATACTTTAACTAAGAAACAGTAAAGAAAAATTACCTCCAGGACCCAGTGGTGGCAGCCAAGACAGTTTGATCCTATCGTCATTAGCTTCTGTGATACGAGGCGGCAGTGGCACAAACGAAGGCTTGGCATTGGTCTGCCATGATTGATAATCCAAGTCAATATAGCAGTGCATTCTAGCAACTTGTTGCGGGGTGAAATGATCTGTGCAGGAGTCATTGGCATAGCCCATGTAGTTGTTGTAAAGTGTGTTGGTGTATATGTGCAGGCCACACATGTTTTCTTGCGGGACGACAGGGTCACCACATGTGCTATGTTTCACGGTGGGGTTGGTGTCCGAACATAGGTCACCAAGTTCGAGTGATGCAAATGATTCGAAACAATCGTTCGAACACGACATCTCTGTTGAGCTGCCATGATGAATGTGCCAGAGCCCAAGTATGTGTCCAATTTCATGAATAAGTACCTTGGAAAATTATGATGATGATATTATTATTGGGGAGTCACTGGGACATTACAATGGTAGACATTTCACAAGGCTCAAAGGTATGCAGATCTTTAAGAATCAGAATCACATTTATTTCGCACGTATTTAAACTAAGAACGTGGGTCATTATTGTACATGTATATGTTGATTGTGATATTTGGTACCCTTCACAAGTAAAATTGTCTGGCATTGGACAGAGAAAAATTGTCTGCCATTAGACAAAGTAAAATAATAAAGTAGGGTGCATATTGATTAACTACCATTTGAGTGACAAGTAAAATATTAAAGTATGGTGCATCAGGGAACAATGCAACTTAATAGGTTAATGTATGCTAACGACACCCCTGAAAATATGTGTATGAACCGCAACTATGATTGGCACACCTCTTGTGCACCCCCGGATGATACCTTTGTAGTGGCAAAATTCTTCGGTGGCAGGACAACTCCACCCAACTCTGTATGCACAGTCTTCTCCCAAGGAAAGCTTGCTGTCCCTTGTAAGTTTTCATCAGTCCAGTTGACAACATACACATTGAGTGCATCTCTGTTAGTGATGCCAACAGCCTTCTTGTATTCGTCAATACCCAAGTATCTTCGATTACTCGACTTCGGATCGATACACATCTTTGACATATTGCCGATGCAACAATCACCACCGTCATACTTGAATCTTGCACTATTGCATTCCGGGTCGCATATCCCATTCTTGGTTTTTTGGGGGGGACACTTCTTCCGTATGCAGTCCCCACCATCCCAGGCCGTGATCGCAAGGTTGCACGAGTCTTCACAGACGTCGTTACCGAGCATTGCCACCTCGCAGCCAACACCATGCAATACTGTTTTATTCCGCAACCACGAATTCCTTACCGATTCCACCGTCATTTCCCAGGATATGTTATACTGTGAAAAAGCACTTTGCATAAGTTGGAATTGGGAATTTATCTCGGAATCCGTAAGCATAGCCCTGCCCCCATCATTGTCCATGACATTAATAAACCGGATCCTTAGACTCTTCGAACCACGGCTACCTGGGTGGTTAAGGTAGCTCCGGATCACCTCGGGGTTATCACAAATGGTTTTTCCACAGGGTGGTTTCCTAATGGCCAAGTCATGTTTATCCTCGGGTACCGTGGAGCGCACGAATCGAGGGTATCGGTCAGTTATCGGTATCCACTTACGATTTTTCATGTTGTTCTCATTAAAATCATCGTACAATTCGATTTTGTCCTGAACGCTATCGATACTGTTTTCCGGCAGACTCTGGGTGATGGCCAGATGCGATATTGCTTCGTTCCATAAGCGAAGCTTATCAATTTCGCCGCGGTAGTACAGTCCTCGTTTTACATCGCCGCCCACTTCAAGCAAATCACAAGCATGGTTTTGCGTGGTGCTATCAAATATCGTTCCCTTCTGCCCATAGCCGACGGCAACTTTTGCTTGATTTACGTATAATTTCATGCGAATTCCATCGTAGGTTGCGGCCACATGATACCAGCGTCTGGGCTCAATTTTCGAATGAGACATTATAGATTTATCACTATCTGCGCTTGCGGCGTGTACTGTAAAACTTATACGAAGATCGCTCGTTACGCCGGCCTCGCGCAAACTGATAAGCCAACCGCGAGCTTCGTTTTCCAGCGCGCATTTGTCATACGCGTGTAGAACTATGGCGGGATTACTCTGCCCTCCTTCGGGCTTCATCCAGAAATCGACTGAGAATTTTTTAGACGGGCTTCTTAGGTTTAGGTATTGGATAGCTTGTCCGGTTTCAAACTGTAGCGCATAGCCATATTTGTTTCCACTTGGTGGTCGGCGCGGGAATAGTTCATGTGCGTGCCGTCTCATTCTGTGTCCATGAGTAGCTCCGCATTTATGCTTGTCCGAATCGAGTGCTCGTACGGTACTGTAGAACGTGCAATAAAGTAACACGAGGCATGTTGTCAGTCCCTTCATCTTGCCTTTAATATACTAAAATGCAATAAAAGGATATAGATTATTATATTAAATATCAAGCCGTCCTTCACAGTATTTGCGCGCGGATTGCGTCAAAATTGTAACCATAGAGTCAAACTCGCACCAGACGTTCACGTAACATGAAATAAGATACTAAAACCCGAAATATACAATAGGATGGCATTTTTTCTCTTCCATTTCCGTGCTTTTAACAATAGTTTCGGAGGCGCACCCGAACAGAGATAATGTGATTTGAGATGCTAAAAAATAATAAAAATATTAATGGCCAAATGCGATGCTTTAATCCAATAATGGCTTTTACCTTGGCTTTCTGTTCGCGCTGAATCGCGCAAGGTTGCGTCAAATGCAACGCGCATGTAGGTTTAAGCGCACTCAAATTTAAGTTGTTAAGACGCAATATAACTTAGAATAAAAATATTATGACCAAACGAGTTTTTTTTTAATCCAATGGTGTTTGTGTCCCCTTGACCTTCCTTTGCTTTTGCGCGCTTTCGTAGACCACGTTGCGCCAAATTTAAACACGCACTCTATTATTGCACGGTCTGTGCGTATATAAGTGACAATAACAAGAAAGCTTTGCATTGATAGGGAAAATACAAGGGGAACTAGCTAACTTCTCGATGAAGGGCCTTCGCTCGAAACGTCGAGGTTCACCTTGTGTTTTTCAGGTAGTTGCACCCCTATCAATCCGACACTACGTTTGCAGCCTAGCAACACTATCTATCTTCAAATACTGGTATGATTACTGGCGACTGCCAGTCCTAACCACCGTTTACTGTGACTTTCCTTTAGTGATTATTTTCCCTTGGCATCCCTTTGCGCAAAATCAGATTTGAACTTGATACTCCGTATTAAACGCTCTCCTGAACGATTCTCAGTATACTCACCAAATACGACAGTGTTTTGTCTTTGCTATAGGCGTGCAAGCGTATACAAGATTGATTTAAATTTGAACCACACTCGGAATTAGGTGTTCATCTTTCCTGCGATGGTGCGATGCAGTAGTGCCTAATATCCTTGTACTCTATTAAATTGCGCAAATTCAGATTGCGTCAATTTATTAAACCATGTATCGAAACACTCCAACACACACTCGAACTAACCAGTTTAACCTTGCAGCCTACTTCACAAAATTCTTTGAATAATAATAAACAGTCTCCAATACTAACCAAATGAAAATATTTAATCCAATAGTTCCTGCTTCGCTTCTCCCTCAATATATGCGCAAAGTCGGATTGCGTCAAAAATTTAAACCGTTGATTTTAAACCACACAAGTCGACCACACTCGAAATGGAGAGGTTTATTATCTCTGCACCTTGATATAAGTTGTGTTTGCTTCGGGCAAATACCTTTCAATACAATATTTTCCTCTTGGACTTTATTCGCACGCACTTGTAATTACGATTGTGCCTCAACTTCGAACAATGTATTAAAAATTCCTCACTCGCAGTAAATAGTTTATCCCTCGTAGCCTACTTTACACTCGTGCATCGTATGAACACGTTCAAAATAAGCGATCGCTTCAAGGAAATTCCTTTCACTATCCTGTCGTGAAGGGTCAGTCGGATGCGCATATCATGTTTACCGAGGAATAATTAGAAAGATTAAAATTAAGCGATGACAGCACGAGATAAAAACAGAATTATGACGGACGTTTTTGCGCCCAAACTTCGACGACCAAGAGGGTTTTGTTGAAAGCCATATCAAAGGTGGAACGGCCTTGCGGGAAAATATTTTCCCGGCCACTTGCTTCCAGAAACATTCGTCATCAAGTGAATGATAAGAGGCAATTTTTTTCAACGTCGCGTTTTGGGATGAAAAGTGCATGTTCAAAATTCCTAAAATCCTTTTGCCCTTCGATCGGCCTTCCTCTCAAAATTATTTTGTTTGGGTTTATTTTGTGGTTTCAACACAGTTAGCAACCTTTTTAAATGTATCTAGCGGTTGAGAAACACACAATAATAGTTAAATATTGTCAATTTAATTTAAACACAATTATCACTGATGCTGTAAAATTGACGCTATACTTTAGCACACAGCTATATAAGCCAAACTTACTCATCTAAAATCTCTTCACTTTAGCATAATTTTACAGATAAAGCACCAGACATTCTTTTTAAATTTATAAAAAAATTATATACAGTCCTAACCAAGTGGAAAAATATATTCACCAGTTTTGAGCTCGTGTTACGAACATACAAAAGATTCTCCTCTTAAATATCCATGATAAAAGTTCTTAAAATCTTCATCATTTATTTTAGGGAGTTGGCGGCTTAATCAGGCTTCCTGCTGTACAATCGGTTCATCGCTATTAATATTCTCGCGTCCGGTCGGAATGACGAGGTAGGCACAGCAGTATAAGGCTTGTTTATATGTAATATGGCGAGTTATACCTCGGGCAAGGCGAGTACTAGCCCAGACGGGACACTGAACAAGCGCTCTGGTTATCAAGTCTGTTTTTATTTGTTCAACCTTCTTTCTGGGGCGACCGAGTAATTACCCGGGCAAAGTATTTACATGGGAAAATATTCATCTCGCCTGGACCTGGGCGATACTCGCTTCTATCTTTACTTGGCTGCATGATGTAAACAGTCACCCGGGATTACTATAAGTTTCTATAATAGCCAGGATCTTGCCGTTGCTGAGTAACTCGCTTTGCCGGGTAAATATGACATTGGATTGGTACATTGTACAACAATTTTAATTAGCACTTTCTGCGGATTTTATCCCGAATTTGAAGCGAAGTAGTCGATTCTACTACTTATTTTCCGCAAGACCTAGTAGAGAATTATTTTGGACTACTGTATAGATAATAGATTTGGATTTCCTTACTATATCCACCAAGTCCAGAATCCATACTATTTCGGCTATTTCCATAGTAAGGAATTATGTTTCGCTACGGGTAATGTCCGTTGTGATTGGCTTTCAGAAACAAATCAGAAACAAAAATGATCATTGTTCGTGACTCGTTCTTTAGAAAGACGATTTATATAGTTTTATTGTCTTTCATTGTTATAATCAACCAACCACGACTCCACGAGCCTGGATAGTGAAGGTAGATGATGACCCTTCGCTACTAAACACTTGTAACACTACCGCGCAGAATATGCTAATTAACCCCGATCGAGATGGATCCAGCCAGATCTGGCAGCGAGAGGGGATACTCATCAAGCTTTGTTCATGGTTCAGGGTATGACCGTTCCCCAATTTTGTATTCACTAGAGGTAGCTACGGCAGTAAGGCACCCCTCACTGCACCCACTCCCCTCCACACACACACACACCCCTACACACATTCATCAGTAAAATCTATCCGTGCATTAATCAGCTTAAGACAAAGGCGACTATAAATTGTATTCCCTTGAGCATTCTATGTTGGCCATGCCCATGTCGTGTGGGGTAGTTTATGTGAATTCACAGACTATCGTTACTTAAGGTTGTTTGTAAAGAAAGATAAGACAGTACTTTTAAGAGGCAAGTATAGCTTAGTAATGTTTGTGTTTCGACTCGCATACTAAAAGGTATAAGTAATTTTGTTTTTCTTTCCGTTTTGCATAAAAAAAATGCAAAACGACTACATACCAGAGATTGTATGTCAACAGATTAACAAGAACATGGTCATGGAACATTCTACCTTATGAACTCAATATTTATAAAATAATGATTTGATTAAATGTGGATAATAAAGTAATGATTTAAATGTGGATAATGTCTTTACTGTCGATGCAATAGTGTTGATAAAATATTGCACCAATTCCTTTCCTCAAGTTGATCAATTCATTTGATAGAAAATTGATTAACTTCCTGTTTACTGGCATGCTTGTTCCCAATTGGTCAATCAGTCACTGAAACGTAAAGCCATTGGTTGATTCAAACACACAGGAAGTTGATCAATTTTTCAACGAATGAATTGATCAGTTCTAAGTAATGAATTGATGCGATATTTTATCAACACTTCCATTGCAACGACAGTAACATTATCCACATTTAAATAATTACTTTATAAATATTACACTACCACCTCGTTGGAAATACAGTAGTATGGAATCCGGAAATCCAATTTTCATACTAATTTCAATTTCCATACTGTGGGTATAGTATGGAAATAGTATGGATATACTATGGGTTTAGGGATGTAATTAGCCTTTTTCCAAAAGAGATCACAGTGAATTCTGGCATCGTTTGGAGGGACAAAATATCATGGAGACAGGCGTCAAATATGTGAAAGAGTAGAAGTATCTACTATCAAATATCAACTTTTTAGATGGCCAAAAATGAAATATCTTCTTTTTACATTTGAAACATTTAATTTAAATGTGTGCTGCGATATTTCTTGTCCCTCCAACAAGGGATTCGCGCGACTAGACCCAGGACGTTGGGAAAAAGCTAATTGCAAATTCCGTCGCAAGAATATCACTTTTTTTCCAGTATATGATCCTGATAATCCTCGGAAATCGAAATGTAATACTACTCGAAATCTTCACTCTCTTGTTATTCTTAATACCTGTATTGTCTCGTTAATTGGATGTATATACTTCTGTTTCTGTTTAAAGGGTTCAGTGTGCTGTTATGGTGACCCTGCCATTAATTTATGTGGCAAAGTTAAATAGATATTGTACGTTTCCTCAGAAGCAAGTATATTTCGGCGTACAATCGTATTCACCGCGTATACGCCTATTTTTAACCTTGTACGTTTCAACCTTTCGAAATAGGCCACCATCTGTTTCCATGTATAGCACTTAGAAAAAGCTACCTACACAACGCATTAAAACTTTAGATGAAGAGCAATTGATAGACACACTTAAAGTTAATTAATTGAGTTACTACGTGAATTGGAAGTAGTAACGCCACACCTTTGTGGTATTAAATGATAATCATAAACAGGAAGAATAAGATTTTGAAAAATGTCGGATATTATGAAAGAGGATTTGTGTATGTACTCTAAATTATATCAGTAGTGTTTGCAAGATTGTTCGCAGAGATAGATCGTCAAACATTAGTTTTAAAGTTCATTGTCACTGTAATTTGCATACTACCTGAGAAAGATATCTCAAACGTGGTATTCAAATGTAGGTAGTATTCTACAATAAGCTGTCGTGGTTTGTGTCTGAACAGTCGTATGCAGGATTTAGTGAATAGGTTGTACAGTATTGTACAATAAGATTATTAAAGCTGCCATGGATTGCGAACTATCAGAAAAAAGATATCTCAAACGTGAGGGTCCATTGTAGATTGTATTATTCTATAATAAGCTGCCATGGTTTGTGTGTAAACTAAGTCCATACACAAATTAACCATCGCAGCTTATGATCGAATCAGTAATACCTACAGTGTACACACACACGTTTGAGATGCATGTTTTCAGGTAGTTCAGACACAAACCATGGCAACTTATTATGAAATAATATACGTAAATGGACCCGCCCACATTTGAGATATCATCGTATACGATCTTGGAAAAATTAGTTGATGATAATGGTCACTGCATGTTTGCATAGATAATATAATTTTTCCATGTTATCAAATTATGGACAATATATGAAGGGTAATTTGACAATTTATTGCGACAATTATACAAGATTCATTTCACAACGACGTTTCGATGCTGATTCATGCATCATTTTCAAGTTGAACATATTTGCGTATTATAATTGCCAACGTAACGTAATTATAATGCGCAATTATGCAAATTACTTCATTCCTGAAAATGATGCGTGAATTAGCATCGAAACGTCTTTTAAAATAAAACTTAATTTCAGAAAAGCATTTAATTTAGAATATTATAAGCGGTGAAGAAAACTGGGATATCGACATAACATTCAATTTAAGTGGGTTTGTAAAACCAAACATATTTTAATGACAAGCCCTTCCGTATCGTGCTGTATAATCATAATACGGCCCATGCATGCTTCTGACTATACTCTCTAGACTAGTGAGGAAATGATTATCTGAGACATTAAACTGAAATACTGAATGCGCTGGTAAAGCGTTTCTTAATTGTCATTCTATATATACTCTGTCTGTCTGGCGATTTAAGGATAGACTGAAGATAGACTATAAAGATAGATTATTTTCATGAAGCATAAATTGTAATTTTTATTTGGCCCGTGAAATGTGAAATGCCCGATTCCCCTGGTGAGATGCCTACGCGGAGGAGACAACACACACCTACTTTTTAAAACAATTAATAAATTATATATAATGAATTTTATATATAATAAAGGAAATTTAAGGAAATGTTACTTACAATGCACTTTCAAAATTACCAAAATTATAAAGCTATTGTTATTATCGATTAACGAAAATGTATGAATAAACTTGTTCATTCCGTGTTAGTTTTATCCTAGTTTTATTCGATAATAAATATCACATATACACGGTTAGGAGCTGTTCATGGTGCTGATTTCAAACAAGGAAAAGAGTGGTGAAAAACGAAATGCTAGCTCATGTCACATGCATGTGCACACATGGCCATGGGCCATGCATGGCATACTTGAGTTGTGGTCTTGTATATGATCACTATATATTGAGTGGATTATAAATGATAAGTATTTATAGACCTTCTCAATGAAACGAACCAGTATTTTAACATCACTTTAATTAACGGGAAAGTTAAGTCAATTTATGTACTATATATATACATTTACTGACGCACGACTAAAGAGTAAAGTGCTTTAAACCTTAAAACGACCCATCGTATGAGTTCATTGGCGAAGTAATTTTAAAAAATAAACATTGTCTAAGCCGAGAAAATCAAAGCTAACGCGTTTATGTAAATATGACATGATATTTTATCACATATAAAACCATGCACCGATACGGCAGAGATTTCCTTTGTCCCTCATGAATTATTGAGTTTTGAAGACCGTTTGTTTTCTTGGTCAATATAACCTATATAACGAGTAACGTGGTTGCATTTTCCATTTCGTTTTCCTCAAGAATTATTAATGAATTACACAATAGTCTTAGAGCTGCACGAATTATTACGGGAACCGTGATAATAATGTTATTAATTGTTCGTTCTGCATGTTGAGCCCGAGAGCGTACACTCCTTAAACTGGGCCGATAATCTAGAGCAAAGACTTTCTCACCAATTCAAAATTTTAATGTACAAAACGATCAATAAAATGGTACTTTCAAATTTACTACAGCTAATACGATATACAAAGCTATATATAACTTGCGTGAATCTGATTCCAATTATTTGTCTCAGGATCATATTTCTATTCTACACGGCTCCATGAAAAAGTTTGAGAATGAATTCCGTGTTTAAATAAAGTTTTAATAATAATTTAATAATAATGAATGAAGGAATTGATAATGAATACAACTGAGGAAGCTACCTTATTACATATTGATAAAGACAGTGAAATCTAATACCTTGTATAGTTTCTGAAACCAAATTTCTTCTTTTTGTATACTTTACAGATGCTATATACCAAATGCAAGATAAGACAGTCTCAAATGGGTCTTTGGCGTTGGGCGGTAAGCATATATACTGTTTATTTTTTGACAGGATATAGCCTATAGGATGTCTTAAATCTTATTCCGCCCGTTTCTAATTGGCTAATCGATGGTGAAGCAAGGGTTTTAACGTAATGAGAATGAGGATCAAACGATAATGAGCGAGAGTTGGTATTAAATCATGCGACCTTGGTTGCCTGTTCTTAATAAAATAATAATAATACCAACGATTTATTGGCAATACATCCACAGAGTGGCTCTTCGCTTACCAAAAGGCATAATATATAAATACAATTAAATTATATACAGATTCTAAGGCAAAAAAAAAATATGTGGGTTTCCGGTTTCCCGACCCTACCTAGCTTTTGGACGTCGAAATCCCGACCCTAAACTTTTCATTGGATCATGCTTGTAAGTGTTTCCACTTAGAGGAAAAACTTTGTGGAATATTGAAATTTGAGGCAATATTAGGGAAATTTATCTTTGGATGTGGAAGCATTGACTAAACAAAATGGCGTCCGGTTGTTCGGAAAATTTAAAAAAAAAGTTTAAAAAAAAGAAGTTAAAACCGACCTATCCTGCCTAAGTTTTTATAAGAAGAAACCGGAAACCCACATATTTTTTTTTTGGCCTAACTACAGTATATACGAATACTACTGCAATAAACTGTTAACGTGTTTGACAGGACAAAGTTTTACATATAAAATTACTACTGTATTACAAGTTAAAACAAAATATTTATAATTATGTAACTATATATCAAAGAATGTGGGTATATTTTCAAAGTTTTCCAAGTCTTGACCATGCTTTCATGTGACTAAGAAATTCTTGGCCTTTTTATAAACTTTAGTACTTTACAAAATACTCGATAGTCTCTATATACAATTCCTAATTTCTACATGTAAATCATTAAAAAGATGTGCTGACTGGTCCAGCCTGTAATGTGTTCTTAATTAGAGGAACTCTTTACAAAATACTCGGTAGTCTCCACAATTCCTAATTTCTACAGGTAAATCATTAAAAAGATGTTTAATAATTATAGAGGAACTCTTTTGAAGTGTGACGTATTTTGAGCAAATAGGAACGCGCTAGAAGTCAGTATGTATGTACTGTAGTGGAAGAAGACGATTAATAGCGTTCAACATTTGTTTTTTGTCTAAATTAAAACATGGAATTTCGTACAATCTGCACATACAAATTATATTGAAGTTAAAAACATATTGTGAAACACTCGTCAAACCTTTATTTGTTATAATAAGAGGAGATTTTTTGTATGTTACGTAACACGCGCTCAAAACTAATGCGTATATAATATATCGCTTGAGGTTGTGACTAAATTCAAATTTTTTATTTTTCGATACGTTTCTTAATCGGCAAACAAACTTAAAAAGTATGTTTAGTGCTTTATCTGTAAAATAATGCAAAAATGAAGACGATACGCCAAAGAGAAAATGATGTCTGAAATTCAGTACGTTTTGCTTATTTGGCTGTAAATATGGCGTCAATTTTAAAGCATCATTGATAATTGTATTTTAATTGACAATTTTTATAACTATTGTTTTATGTTTCTCAACCGGCAGATGCATTTAAAAAGGTATAGCTAACTCTATAAACTAGAGAATAAAGCTAAAACAAAGTAATTTTGAAAGGAACGCCAAAAAGATTTTAGCTTTTGAACACTTTTCATTGCAAATACGTGACATTGAAAAAAAATGCCTCTTAATATGTAGAGCTTGAAATATTTCCGTAAACATGCGTGCCAAATCTCATTAGCGTTTGATCGGGGCATAAATCTTAAAATCCCGGTGTCACGTCGTAGAAAGCGCATGCCCTGCCAAAAAAAATTACTTACTGTAACAAATTAAGAAGTGAAAAGTCGATTAATTTAAAACGATTACCGGTAAATGACATGCCCATATTTTATTTGCTCACGTTCAGAGATCGAACGGGTAATTATGGGCTGCCCACGCATCGCAAGGTTGATAACGGGCGTAAAGGCACGATTTTCTCCCGATGGATGTGAACCAGGGTTGGTATAGGCTCTTGCGCATGTTCGGAGCCAAATACCGTTCAAAAATCAGCCAAAATCTACCCAAAGGGGCCAAGAGACATTTCGTTCAGCCAAATAAGGCGGACTTAATTGGTAGTATAGTTTGTAACAAATAGTCAGATTCATCAGCATAACACGAGAATGATGCACAGAAACTACTTAAGTGTTATAATAGAACAAATTATGTAAAACAAACTTTATCAACCAAAGGAGTTGAAATATGGAATAAACTAGATCCAAATTTCAAAAGTATAAATTCGTTGACCTTTAAAAAACAAATTAAACAACATTTTCTTCTAAATGAAGCTTAAGGAAAAACAAACCTGTGTTCAATATATATATATATACTCTGTACATATATTATAAACGTAATGTATCTCAACTGCATGTCTTCATAGCTACCATAGTCTTATTTTGCACATCACATTTCCTTCGTTAATTTGTAAATAGTGCTATACATTTTAAGACTTTTTTATTCTTTGAACAATGTCTGTAATTATATTGATAAATTTTCATGACATGAACAAAACTAGGGGCCTAAATTAAAAAGCCTGTAAAGTTTTCTGGTAGGTTCCTAGCCCAACATTCATTATTAGAAATCTATCTTTATACTAAAAAAATTGTATATAGGGAAAACTTCATTAAATAAATAAAAAAAATAAAAATAGTTTATCAGCTATAATCGGCTCGATCTCATGAATCCTGATTGGCCAGAAATAAAAATTGAATCAATCTGCAAAAATCAAAGCTTATAATTTCAAAATAATCAATAAATTTTTACAAAATTCTTAATAAACTGTGAAGAAGGCAAAAAGCCAAACTCTTTTTTCAGTTTAGGCTAAGCAAAGGCTACAGGGGTCTACAGGGTGTCTACGGGCCTTGAAAATCCTTCAAAGCCCTTGAATTGGAAAAAAAATTCCAGGATTGGAAAGTGCTTGAAAATCCTGGAAAGTCCTTGAAATGGAAAAAAA